GAAACGTTGCCAAGATACTTCCAATTTTATGTGGGAGAAAACCCGAATAACCAAAGATCCACATACAAATACCCGCGAAAACATCAGAAAACATATATATATATATATATATATAGAATAGGCAACAAAGTGCCCTTCAGACATTTTGGTTGATAGTTCATCTGAATGATCAAGCATTATCAATAATCAGAAGCTAAGAGAATGTTTATACCCCTGGATTGACAAATTGATAAAATTAAATATCATTACTGAATGTATCACTCACTGGAAAACGGATCAAAGCAATAGGTATAAGTTCAAAAATTCACATTAAAATAATGTTGGGAGCCTGTTGAAATAATGTTGGGAGCCTGAAAAATGATTAAAAATCATAATATACAAATCTCAAATCTCTGCAAAATGAGGTCCAATGGAGAGCTATCAAGAAACAAGCAAATACTAATTCCTTCTGAAATTCCATAATTCATACAATTATTTGCAAAATTACTTTGAAAAGTTAGTAGAATATCTCAAGTACAAATAACATAATTCTGTCAATTTCCAAAAATAATATTACCATATATTTTGTATACTTAATTTTTTTTATTTTATACTATAGTATATAATGCATACATTTATTTTTGCAGTATTAAATTAATTTCTTTCACTTTCTAGCATTTCAATATCATCTACACATTCATAAATACCATTTGAAGATTGTTTGCTTTATTGTACTAGCTGAACAAATTCAAGAAATGACATTTAGCAAAAGCCAAAATTGCAAGAAATAGCATAGAATTAGTCTTTAACTTGTCCCATTTTACAAACATTTTTGCAATGGTTGTTAAGTAAATCATGTGGTTCTTAAGTGAATCTGGCTTCTACCATTAATTTTGCTTTTCAGAAGCTGACTGGAAATTCTCAAATGCTGATTTCATGATCTCAGGACATAAATGTCATAAATACAGGCCAGTTGCAAAGTACTCGAATTTTGACCATATGACCATGGGGTTAATAAGGTCATGTCATTTTTTTCAATGCTGTTATAATTTCAAACAGTCATTAAAAGAATGATTGTAAGTCGATGACTACCTGTAATGACATTGTGCAAAATCATTGATATATTTATGGAACAGTTTATATAAGTTCTTGCACCAACAAAAATAAAAAAATTAGGTCTGACTCTTTTGTTAGAATGAAAATAAAGAGTCTATTTCACATGGTGTTTTATGCCACCAGAATGATACTACTAAGTGCTGTCCGTAGTTCCTGAATATCACAGTTGTTGATTATGGTGTTTTTTTTTGGTTACCGAAAGCAGCAGTCCCTAACCTTCCTGTGGTGGGAAGGGGACAGGATGGTTCCATGCATACAACCTAATTTCACGCATGTGCAAATAGAGCTCTGTGTGCTTGCCTACCACTTTTGCATCCCAATGCCCAATGCCCAATGGACCAAAGACCCCTGACCTAAAAGGTAGAAATGTGTAGATAACTTAGCTTTTGAATAATATGCTAGGAGCTTCTCTAAAATACTTAAAATAGACCTAATTTTAATTTAATATGATATGATTTCTCCCTGTACAATTAAAATGTTTCCAGATCTGTCTTTCCAACTTTGTTCATCTCTGTTATCTATGTTTATAAAATTAGCCATGTAATCAATTAAAGAGTCAATTAATTTGGTCATTTTAAAATTGCAATTTTAGACCTGAAGTGGCTTTCTTGGAATCTGCACGTTGCTCTCTTTTTCTTGCTCTGAAGAAGCTTGGTTATTTGCAAGTACATTCTGCCCTTTTATCAACCACCTATGAGGTAAGAAAAGTTGTTTATTATAAAATTATCCATATTTATGTCATTTATTTATTTTCTTTGTCACATTTATTTCACAAAGTGACAATATAACAGCGGTCACTGACTGGTGGGCCGTGGCCCACTGGTGGGCCATGAGAAAATTTTGGTGGACCACAGAGAAATCTCACACCCAGAGCACCCCACAAAGCAATTAATCCAGGCTGCACAGAAATACAAGGCTGCACCACCCAACATGACCCTCCCCACCCACTCACTCCTTACCCAGTAAACTAGCCTGCTAAATTTCTATTTTTCCTTTTTCCGACCATCATCTGTTCGGGCTGTGCTGGGAGATTAGCTAGGAAGCAGCAAGTGGTTGGATTTCTTGCTTTCTGGCTAACCTTTCAATCTTTGGTTCTGCTTTTAAGTATAGCTAAACCTCCCTTAGGACTGAAGTTTTGCTTGCAAACAAATTCAGTGCAGACTCATGACAAGCAAATTTGAGAGACTGAGCTAGCCGATGGCAGATAGATAGATCACTGAATGATTCTGTGAGCAACTCAATCTGCCTACTTTGCCTGATTTTGGGTAAAAGTTGCTCTTTTTTAAATAAAAAAATCAATATTTACATGCATGGTATGTTGTGAGTTAATTTTGTGAGTTTGCTTGCAAGCAAATTTTATGTAACAGACTGAGCTAGCCTATGGCAGATAGATAGATTTCTGAATGAACCTATGATTCTGTGAGCAACTGAATCTGCCTACTTTGCCTGATTTTGGGTAAAAGTTGCTCTTTTTTAAATAAAAAATTCAATATTTACATGCATGGTATGTTGTGAGTTAATTTTGTGAGTTTGCTTGCAAGCAAATTTTATGTGACAGACTGAGCTAGCCAATGGCAGATAGATAGATTTCTGAATGAACCTATGATTCTGTGAGCAACTCAATCTTCCTGCCTGCTTTGCCTAATTTTGGGTAAAAGTTGCTCTTTTTTTATCAAAAATTCAATATTTGTATAAATATTTATAATATTTACATACAAGCCAGGCCCAGCCAGTCACATGACCACCAAGCTACACCCGCAAATTAAGCCACACCCACAGAACCAGTTAGTCTTCCCTGGGATCTAATATTATGAGTTTAGTGGTCCCTGAGGTCCAAAAGGTTGGTGACCACTGCTCTATAATACTTTACAAGCTTAGAAAAGCATAGTTATTCTCAAACAGACATTATGATTTAAACAGAAAATGAATAAATATAATTTATGTCTGCCAAATTATTCTCCTTGTAAAATGAATCATTATAACATCTATATAATTCGTTTATGCATACTTCCAAAATTTATAATCATGTTCACACATCTTAAATTAGCACAATTGTTGATTTAGATATTAAATATTTCAGCTAATCAGTACATGTGTTGGTTTCATATGCAGTTTTTAGATCTTTATGCATATATATGTGCTTTTGTTTCTATAAAAAATTCTATACAGTATTTATTTACCCTTTCCATATTGCTTTTGTTCCAAAGAACTCAGAAAAAATTGAGAATGTGAAAAAATAGTACTGTTTGTAAGATTCTGCTTAAAATATATGAGACATATAAAACATATAGAAAAGTATGGCTGGAGGCATCAGGTAACTTGAGAGAATGCGACATAACTTTCTCTATATCTGTCTCCTAAGCTATTTTCTGCCAATATAGGTAGTCCTTGACTTGTGATATGGCTTCTGAGCAACCATTTAAAATTATGATGGACCCTCCCCAATATATGTGTGTGTGTGTGTTTTATATATATAGAATCATATATATGATTCTAAGTTCCAATGACCATCCTTCCACAATCATATGACTGCATTTTAGATGCTCAGCAACCAGCCCATTTTGCATCAATTTGCAGTCCCATGTGAAGAGATAAGCACAATGTATGATGTTTGTGCTGGACACCACTGCTTACTTCCATTTTCTGGTAACATCTCCCCATAGCAGACAATGGGTTTTCTTAATGATTGTCACGTTTGCTTCATGACTGCTGTATTTGCTTAACGACTGCAAGAAAAAATGTAAAAAAAAAAATCAGATAGTCATGTGGTGACCCACTTTACAACACTCATAACATATGACCAAAACTGTGCCTATATACATTTATATGTCAAGGAGTACCTATAGGTACTTTACTATTGATTGCTCCCATAGCTATACTTGTTTCTGTTGCTTTTTGTCTTCTTGTCTGCTTTCATTCCCATCAGTTACCTTAGTACTTTACTTCTCTGAATCCTCAATTTTTTACCCTTTGACCCCTCTCCCCAAGTTATTCCCCAACCCCTGGATACTTGTTGGATATTGTTCTCTTGCTCATAAAATTTTAAGCTGAGCCAATTATTCCATCAATAATAAAAATAGTTTCATGAACTTTTAGAGTTTTAGAGTCCTTGATGCATTGTAAAACCCAGTGCAATCTTCAAACTTGAAATTCTGAATTTAGAAAAGAAGTTACTTACCCATTGTTTATACCCTTGAGATATCTGTGGAGTAGGGGCTGAAGGCAATTATAGAAAGATGAAGAGAGAAAGTGATAGGGGGAAATGCTACCTTAAAGGTTGAATGCCTGTGGAGATTCTCAATCATCCAGCTCATTATTCCAAAGCTGCTTTTCAAAAGTCCAGAACTGAAGAAGCTTCTTCAATGAGAAGGGAAACATTTTCAAAGAAAAATAAAAACCAAGCAAATCCAGTTATCCTTTAGGGCCTTAAAGATTGGTATCATATATTGATGGAAACCAAAGATAGACATCTTGCAAGCCACACGTACAACTCCTTTTATGACTTCCAGATCCACTCCCCCCAAAACTGATTTGCACAAATTGTTTTGGGCTATTTGGAGAACTCCCATCATTCTTCATTGTTCAAAACTTTTGAAAATCTTCTCTGATGATTCTTTAAATGACCACCAGATGCCTCAGCTATCCTTTCACTCAACATAGTAAGTGCTATCCTGACCATCACAATCGCCTACTCTTGTTTAAATAAACACAAGCCATAGTGTTGATACCATATCCACTAACAAATAAATCTGGACTCATCAGATAATATGATATATCTTTTCAATGAGATGATGGCACAAGTGATAAAGATTTCCTTTGGAAATATTGCTTTCCACCTCATTGTGACAATGTCATTACCAATTCTATTTGTAGTTGTGTTAGCTTCATTACCATCCAGTACAGATGATGATGTATAGTTCCAAATGCTGTGGCCAATTGACCGTAAAATTGTTCTGCAGTTCTGCTGGGGCAGCCAAGTTAGATTTTTTAAAATCTCCATGCTGAAGCTCAACACCCACTGTTTGGAAGCTGATCATTATTTTTCTTCTGTCTCCTGATCTGAACAAAAGAAAGACTTCTGGAATTAATTAGAAATGTCTACACTTGATGAGATTTGCACGTGAGTTTGCAATAGTGAGGCTTTGATAATGTCAGCCAACAGCTGCAGCTTCAGGCGGTAAAATCAAGAGACACATTTTCCCTGGGCTTAATTACAATCAGAAAGTATATATTTGAGGGAAACAGAAACAAATCAGATTGGAAACTGTCAAGTATTATCATTGAAGATGAGACTTAAACATCTGTTTCTTCATAGAAAAGTAAACAAAACATTTATTGTTGGGATCTCTTGGTTGTGAGACTTTATCCAGCACTTGTATATAACTGGAAATTATGAAATTTTCTGTAGTACTTGCTATAAAAGAAACATCTGGCACTATTTATGTCATTCGTACTTGACAACTCAAGGCAATAATTTGTGTACAATGTGGAATGCAGTTTTTCTTAGATAGTGCTAACAATATGATGCTAACCCTTTTCCTTGTACAAGAATTAGCATTTAAAAGCATTTCAGCTGTTTTATTTAAATAACTCAAACTTCATTGAAACCACTTTAATTACAAATTGTCATCTGGAGGGATTATATCATAGTCTTTTACAATTATCTTGAACTATATATATTTACATTTGTAATCTAAAAAGGATATTTTACCTATAAATATGAGCTTGACTATGTCCTAAAACCTCTAACCTGTAAGCAGATAGCCACTGCTTATCAATATAGTTAATAAGAAGTGAAAAAAAATCTGCAAAGGAATCAGACTTCTAGATTCACAGCCATATCTATATAACTGATATTTTGTTTTAATCTCAGAATGAGATGTGTGTGTGTGTGTATGTATGTATGTATACACACACATACACACACACAGAGAGAGAGAATTTATTTATATCCTGCATTTATAATTTTTACAAATAACTCAAGGATGGTATGTTTACCATCCTTCTCCTGTTTTCCCTACAGCAATAACAACCTTTGAATAACCTTTGAAGATTTGGGCTGAGAGAGAGAGAGAGCGCGATAGCACTCAGAGAGTAGAGTAGCATTCGAATTCATGGACTGTGGCTTGTTGCCCTGTTGCCTAACTACTGGACCAAACTGGTTCTGCTTATATTAGTATTATTACTATTTGTTTCAACTAATTATTTCAAAATAGCTTTTTAAAATATATAGCAAATGATGGGAATTTAAACCTTTAAATTAAACAGTTGCATTAAAGATGCAAGTATTATGATCTCTAAAGAATTGAAATGTGGGCGAATTAAGTGGAATTCTGAATTACCTTACTTCTGATGTGAAAATGAGTCAGAAAAAATAACTATTCCAACAATGTCATTGTCAAAGTTTTCAGACTAAAGTAGTTAAAGAAACATTGGAATAACTAGTGTATTGTCATGACTACAGTTTAACAGAGGTCTGTCGTTAGGCTGTGCAAATCATTCAACAAGCAGATTGCTTCATTGGATTCACTTCTCAAATCCTCAGGTATTTGGTTTGCTCTCTATTGCAACTGGAATGTCTTATGTGAATATTCAGGCACCAAGGAAATCTTGGATAGACTCTGATGCAATAGCACAAATCCTTTGAGTTTTCAGCTTTGGGGAATAGATGTACAAGGTTAAACAAATCATTTCATTG